TGCCTCTACCATAGCACCGATTTCCTTAACATGCCAGATTCGGGCTCAACACACACCATACTATTCCACAGATATTTTGTATGCATAGTTCTCAACTCTAATAGTTCAGCCTTTTCAAACACTTTCTTAAATTTATAGACATATCTTTTTAACCACTTCCTTCCTTCCTCCCTCCTTAGTTTAGTTTTGTTTGTTTACTTGTTTGTTGGGTGTTTTTTCCCCCAGTTACATCCTTCTCTTACTCATTTGGTTATTTTTCTCAGCAAAGGGAAAATGAATATGCCCAGCTAGTAAGATTTTCACTTCAGTAACTCAACTGATAAAGAATTAGAAGTATAAGATCTAAGGTGCTTGAAAATGTCCCCAAATCCTCTTTCAAATCTGAACAAGTCTCCCTGTAATTTTCTAATTAAGCCTATCCTTCTGCAAACAAAAAAGTGCTTTAAACCAGTTTCTATCCAGCTTAATTTTGCTCTTGTTTATTTATATTTGGCTTTCAGTATTATAATACTATGCCCTCTGATATTTATTATGATAAGCATAAAAATGTAATAAAATTTAATTCCAACAACATTTTGAGATTTTTTTTATGGAATTAAATACAATTTATTGCTCTGTTTCCAAAAAGAAAGTATGGTCTGCACTTCAAAAGTCCCACTCACAAAGCAAACTTTTGAGGATGAATATGCAAGAATATTTTGAGGACAAATTGAGGTGATATGATTTAAATTTTGAAACTTGAAAACGGAACTTTTAAAAAGCTTTTCAAAGCCTTTTCCCTCAAAAAATAAAAAAGACACTGATCTTAGAACTCTATCAATATGGCCTGCATTTTTACAGGTAAAATTCTATAAAATTGTGATTTTCAACTAGAGTCAAAGAATGCCTAGAACTTGTTTCAAATGCAGATTCTGGGGTCTCACATCAAGAGATTCTGATTCCATAAATCTACGGTGATGTAAAAAAAATGTCAGTTGCCTCAAGCATAACAGAGTTTATTCAATCTCAGCACTACTAATATTTGGGTCCAGGTCATTCCTTGTTGGTAAAGTTGTCCTATCCTATGTATTATAGGATGTCCAGCAGTATCCCTGACTTATACTTACTAAATGCTGGTAGCACACAGTCCATCCCCTGTTATGACCACCAAACATGTCTCCAGATATTTCCAAATATCTCCTAGAGGGTAAAATTAGTCCCTATGGAGAATCAGGAATAGAAGCTGTCCAAAGATGAAACATTTTGAGAAATGCCATTCTTAAGTCAAAGAAAAAAATAATATGATAAAAGTTGAATAATATAGATATGTACAAGCATACATTATATAAATTGAAATAAACAAGCTTTCCAAAAAGGAAATCTGATTAGCCACTATAAACTCCTAATGATTCAGCTAAGCTTCTAAGTCAAAGCTCTTCCTATGTAATTTCAACTTGATTCTCTCTCTAGCTTCTATTTTAGATTATTTTTAATTAACTTCACTGGCATTTTGCATCCTGCTATGAAAAGTCCGCCTAATAGTCTCAGAGGACTTTCCCAAGAGAAAAGAGTGCATTAAATCACACATTATCACATTAAAGTATATTCCAGCACTCAGAGCCCAACGGTTTACATCTTGGAAAATGCTATGGGTTGGGAGCTGGGGAGATGATACAGTCATGAGTTCAGGCTCAAGTGACTCACAATGTCCAGAGCTTATTGTCTTCATTGCACCCACCCCTATAAAACAGCTATATTGATTCTCTACTTTAAGTGCATTTTTCACAATGACATATATTTTCTAACTTGAGCTTCCACCCTAATTTCTCGCTACTGACTGTGTGTGAGACCCTGGGAAAGTCATCTAAATTACTTGGACGTCCTTTCCCTTATCTAAAAATGAGCAGGTTAAAGTAAATTATTTCTAAAGACCCTTCTAGTTACAAATCACAAACTTATAAAAGAAGTACTTAATATAGTAACTACTACACCGAAGAGCAAGTACCTACATTTTTTCAATGTTGCTTGACAGCACAGTAAATTTTAAAATGTTTAATCAATACAGACAAAATGACAATAAAAGGGCCCACATATATAAGATCCTTTCTCTCTTAAAACAAAAAATATGACCCACATTGTTTTTCACTTATCAAGATGTTTACACAGGTATGTCTTGATATAAGGGTACGAGAAAGTAAATCAATATTTTATAAACTAGTCATAAATTGGAAAATAGCTTTAAATTGCACGCTTATTTTCTATAAGAGAGATCACAAATCAGCTGATCAGAGGCCACACCCAGTCTGCTGGTGTGGTTGTTTTGTTTGGCTTGGACAAAAATTATGTCTAATTAGTTGCCAACTTTTAAAAGTAGAGAGATGATACATAAGAATCCAGATTTCCAGTATCACTTGAAATACTGGAAGATACTAACCCACAGTGCAACAATTTGCTAGAATTGAGGAATGTTGTCTCCTGGCCCCTGAGCAGTCCTGTTCCTCCAAATCCCCACTGCTCCCTATTGTCTGATACCCATTCTGGTTCCCTCTTAGTCCTAGAGCATGTAAGTTTTTGTCTCTCTTCTGTAACAAGTTTTAAGACACATAGGAAAGATTTGCAATTCTTTTATATGCTTCCAAAGCAATAGTAAAGCTTGCAGAATCACACACACAAAAAAGTAGAAGTTTCGATGAGAGAGAGCTAACTCTTAATGCTGACACCTAGAAGGGGCTACACTGTTGGTTTCTAATCAACCACCTAAAAGAATGTAGGATGGAATCTTAGATTTGATGAGGAGTTCAGGGTAAAGAATGTTTAAAATTGTTTCCAATTTTAAGGTTCTATGACTTTGGTTAACAGTCTGGATAGCTTATCATAACAGGCTACAGTAATACATGTACAGGTTACTAATGTTTTTATGTACATACAGGTATGTTTCTCTTGGTTACAGAGGAAGAATTGATCATATTCTTCCTCTTCATGAAATGATACTTTCTGTTAACTTTTATAAAACATTCCATTTTTCTCAATGGCTTTAATATATGGAATTTTAAAATTAAGTTTCAATTAACTAAGCAGCCACATCTTACTGGAGAACTATTAAACTGTTCTTCAGCAAGGATAATAAAGATTCCAAGAAGCTAGGAAGAAGATAAAAGAACTTGAAAAGGGGCTTAATAGTAGATGGCCTTCAAGCAAAGCTTCTTCTCTAATGCCTTTAGCAATTGGAAAAGAAAAAAAAAAAGCTTTTTACTGTCCACTTCAAATTTTCTTAAATACACTTTATGAGATCTACCTGTATGAGATACAATATTTTAATGAGATCCTGAGGATTTCCTTGTTTACAAGTCAACTTCATGTTACATTTATAGTTAAACTGATCCCTATTTAAGGAATGTTTTGAGTCAAAGTTGCACTAATAAAAAAGCTATGTATAACTATGTTGCTGAAGTAAGGCATATTTTTGGTAAAATACAACCCAAGAGCTTCCACACTGTTAATGTGTGTGTGGTATGCGGCAAACATGCTACTCCAGCCCATTCTAGATGCCCTGCTTCATAAGGTCTGGTCATGTGATGCCAAGCAGCCATGCATTGCACAGGTGCATTAACGACCACTGCACATCCTTCCAGCTGATTTAAAAAATGCAAGCCACTAACTAAAGTTGGATGTTGTAGATTTTACCTATTTCCAAATCAAATAGTTTTCCTTGGGTGTTTGATGTTGATTTTTGACATAAGCCTTGTTTAACAATAGTGATTAACAGCTCAAGTGTGAGCATAAACAGCCCATCAATGAGTCCATATGACTACTGAGGGCAAACCTAATGACAGGAAAATGATTGTGTTGACAATACAATGTGGAACATGGGCTGCTTCTGGGAAGACATATGTTTATCATTCTAGCTCTCTGATTTTCTGCAGCTAATCGTTTTTTATTTTCTCTGTTTTAAAAAAAGAAGTGAGTCACTCTTTAGAAGCAAAAAAAGAAAAAAAAAACTGATAAATGTAATTCAATTTAACAGTCCTGGAAGCCAGAACATTTAAATTTTACTAGGGATGTTTTCTGCTTTTACCTGTTTTTGACTTGAACATTTGCTAACTTCTTTTTCACTTTTTACTGCCTTAAAAAAAAAAAAAAATCCACCCCAAAACTCAATACATTATTATTACAGGGAGAAAAAAATATCAAATATACTTAAAATCAAGAGCATAAAGTAGGTTTTTGAGGTCTGGAAAACTATTAAGTTCTGTTATATCCGTGTCAGAACTCTTTAAATCAGAACCGTTCCTTAGAGTGAAATACATTAAAGTTTAAGGGTCTTGCTCTGTCGCCAGTGAAAACCTGAAGTACATCACCTTCAGGAGAAGAAAGCTACTGTCTAACTTGTTTATAAGCTTGCTATGGAAGTTTCCCAGACACAAGAGTATTTTCTTTTTTAGGCTGTATGTGTTTACACTTTGGAAGGACACAAAGGAGCTAATTCATTCTTGGAAAGTGTTTCTTTCAAAGTACGTTTATTTCCAAACAAAACAGTCATTGAAAACATGTGCATGAGCCATTCCAAAGCAATTGATCACAGAAACCCGGATTATCAACCGGGGTGCCTAGGAGCCCACGAGAAGCTGCGGCGCCGGGTGCTTGCTGGTTCAGAGAATAATCCCGGGTCTGATGAGACCAGAACCAAAGAGACCCAGAGAGAAGAAGCACCGCGGCACCCACACGTTTGAGTCTAAGGCCCAGAACTGCATCTGCCCAAGAAAGAAGCAAGCCTGCCATCCTGTTTCTCCGCAACCAAAGGAAGGGGCAGTGGAGGGACCCGCGGAGCCCGCCCTCTGCTCCGGTTGTTGATCTAGAGCGGGCGAGCAGGAGAACTTGATGGAGTAACGCGAACTGTGCAAAAGTTCACAACCACGAGGTGGGAATCCGCCCCCGCCCCCGCCCCCGTCAGCCCCCGCTGGGAGCAGGCTGACCAGGGCGACCCTGACGAAGAAGCTCGCGAGGTGCAAGCGCGCACTCACCCTGGGCCGGGGAGCCCAGCCGGCCGCCGCCCGCCTCCGCCGCGCGCT